TCTTCTTCTTCTTCTTCTTCTTCTTCTTCTTCTTCTTCTTCTTCTTCTTCTTCTTCTTCCTCTTCTTCCTCTTCCTCCTCCTCCTCTTCTTCTTCTTCTTCTTCTCCCCCCTCCTCCTTCTCTCTTTCAATTGCACACAGCTCTATGAAGCATTTACATTTCTGAAAAGTCTCGGAGCGGTTATCATGGTGCACGCAGAAAACGGGGATTTGATAGCTCAGGTGAGAAACATTCATTCGTAAACGCAAACGACACGTCCTGATTTCTCCAGGAAGCCTCCACCTGCTTCCTGTGATTTGGGGATCTCAGCCCCCGTCCCCCCCCCAGGAATGACCGTGGCCTCTTCTGTTTCAGGAGCAAAAGCGGGTGCTGGAGATGGGAATCACAGGGCCAGAAGGACATGCTCTGAGCCGTCCTGAGGAGGTGAGTGTTCCTGCATTTCTTCCAGAATCCCTTGAGACGTAAAAAGAAGTTTAGATTTGAAGTCTAGGGAGGTTCTCCGTCATCCAGGTCGTGGTTGTCCCAAAGGTGCCTTTTTCAAGAGGCAACTGGACTTCCTTTGTTTTTCTTTGGAGACGTTTCGCTTCTCATCCCAGAAGCAGCTATTCTATGAAAAACTACAGGGAAGGTCATTAAAATGTGAGTGTCAGACGTTGAAAATCAAAGCCTTGGCAGTAGCAAAAAGGACTGGTCAATAGATCTGGAGAGAAAGACTCTGTTAAGTCTTTGACCGAGATGGGCAACCATAGAAATTTAATATATAAACAAAAATAATTAATGTGAACGTTCTTGGTGGTAATGACGCTTGGACTTCCTTGTTTTTGTCGTTCAGCTGGAAGCCGAAGCCATATTCCGGGCTATCACTATAGCTACTCGGATCAACTGTCCGGTCTATATCACTAAAGTGATGAGTAAGAGTGCCGCTGATGTCATCTCGCTGGCTAGGAAGAAAGGTACGGGGGTTCAGGTTTTCTTCACGGATGCGTATATTTCTCTTTCACACACATGGTCTCGGGTTAAAATAACATGACAGGAATTAGAAAACTTTATCAAAGCCTGGCACTCCACAAGCAACTCAACAGGCATGTCAACCGACAATCAGCCTACGAACCCCTCAGAATCCAAATCAACCGCATAGCCAACCAGAGATGGCACCGACCTCAACGATCCCGCGCAATCCCCCGAACCAGCACTTCTCCTCCCAATGACCCTCACCTGAAGTGACCTCCCCATCACAAGACCCATTACAAGATCCTCACCTGGCATGACCCACACCTGACCCATCACCTGACCCATCAAAAGACCCTCACTTGACATGACCCACATCTGACCAGTCATGAGACTCATCACTAGATCCATCACAAGACCATCCCCTGACATGACCTCCCATCACAAGACCCCTCACAAGGCCCTTACCTAACATGATCCATACCTGAACCATCATAAAACCCATCACTAGATCCATCACATGACCCAAACCTGATGTGACCTCCCCATCACCAGACCTGTTGACCACATGAAGCTCTTATGAGCAGAAGAACACCGACATCAACAACCCCTAAACTCTGCTGAAGATGTTACGTAGCCTGGCAACGAAATGTTTTGAAACCAACCCACAAGCTCGAAGAATGGATCAGACAACTGAGCTACCAATATTCGTAAAATTAGAAAACCATATTGTGGATTTAATTACTAAGCATGAAAACCAATGGGATTACAGACAGTGTTTTGTATACCAGAATAGAATAGAATAGAATAGAATAGAATAGAATAGAATAGAATAGAATAGAATAGAATAGAATAGAATAGAATAGAATAGAGCTGGAAGAGACCTTGGAGGTCTTCTAGTCCAGCCCCCTGCTGAAGCAGGAGAACCTATACCATCTCAGACAGGTGAATGTCCAGTCTCTTCTTGAAAATCTCCAGTGATGGAGCGCCCACAATTTCTGGTGGCAAGCTGTTCCACTGGTTGATTGTCCTCACTGTCAGGAAGTTTCTCCTTAATTCCAGGTTGCTTCTCTCCTTGATCAGTTTTCAACCATTGTTTCTCGTCCTTCCCTCTGGTGCTCTGGTGAACAACCTGGCCCCCTCTGCCTTGTGGCAGCCCCTCAGATACTGGAACACTGCTATCATGTCTCCCCTATTTCTTCTTTTCTTTAGACTAGTCTCTAGATTACATCAGATTAGACTAGACTAACTAGACTAGACCAGATTAGACTAGACTAGACTGGATTAGATTACATTAGATTAGATTAGACTAGACTAGATTAGATTAGATTAGACTAGATTAGACTAGACTAGACTAGACTAGGCTAGGCTAGGCTAGACTAGACTAAACTAGATTAGACCAGATTAGACTAGACTAGACTAGACTGGATTAGACTAGACTACACTACACTAGACTAGACTAGACTGGATTAGATTAGATTAGACTAGGCTAGGCTAGGCTAGACTAGACTAGATTAGGCCAGATTAGACTAGACTAGACTAGACTGGATTAGACTAGACTAGATTAGACTAGACTAGACTGGATTAGAGTAGACTAGACTGGACTAGACTGGATTAGATTAGATTAGACTAGACTAGACTAGGATGGATGGGTAGGTAGTTAGGTAGTTAGGTAGTTAGGTAGTTAGGTAGTTAGGTAGATAGGTAGATAGATAGATAGATAGATAGATAGATAGATAGATAGATAGATAGATAGAAAGAAGATAGATAGATAGATAGATAGATAGATAGATAGATAGATAGATAGATAGATAGATAGATAGATAGATGGGATTCAGCCGGTTCGCACTACTTCGGCAGAACCAAATAGCTAATTTTTTGTGGCCCAGACCCAGAATGGACTTCCGGAAGCTGCATCCACACAGAGAACCGGTTGTTCCCCTATTTGAATCCCACCACTGGATGGATGGATGGATGGAGAGAGAGAGAGAGAGATAGAGAGAGATAGAGAGAGAGAGAGAAAGAGATAGATAGATAGATAGATAGATAGATAGATAGATAGATAGATAGATAGATAGATAGATAGATAGATAGATAGATAGGTGGGATTCAGCCGGTTCGCACCACTTCGGCAGAACCAAATAGCTAATTTTTTGTTGCTCAGGCCCAGAATGGACTTCCGGAAGCTGCATCCACACAGAGAACTGGTTGTTCCCCTATTTGAATCCCAACACTGGATGCCTTGCTTGGGAAACAAAAGCCAGGGACCTAACTAGGACTGTTTTTTTCTCCACTCCAGGTGCTCTGGTATTGGGGGAACCAATCACGGCCAGTCTGGGGACCGATGGGACCCATTATTGGAACAAGAATTGGGCTAAGGCTGCTGCATTTGTGACCTCGCCACCTCTGAGTCTGGACCCTACCACCCCTGACCATTTGACCTCACTTTTAGCCTGGTAAGAAATGTCAGCTGTTGGTCCTAAATCTGCACCTTCTCCAGATTTGCCAGAGGCTCTATAACTCTACATTTTAGCAGTTAATTTTAACTAATAAGGATGGAGCTTTTGATCGTATTTTTTCTATGTACCGCTGCTCCTTGTTTATTTTTAGATGGGCTGGATATTTGAAAACTATTTTAAGCAATTACATCAGAAGTAAGTCAAGGGTGGCTCTTGAGTGGCTGCAGAGCTTCTGTCTGAACTGATTCCATTTAGATTCTTAACTGAGTGGAAGAATTGGACTCCGTGGCTTAAATGGCCCTTCTATAATAATGATAATAAAGTTGGAAGGTACCCTGGAGGTCATCTAGTCCAACCCCTTGCTCAGGCAGGAAACCCTATACCATTTCGGACAAATGGCTGTCCAGTTTCTTCTTAAAAACTTCCAGTGTTGGAGCATTCACCGCTTCTGGAGGCAGGTTGTTCCACTGGTTAATTGTTCTAACTGTCAGGAAGTTTCTCCTTAGTTCTAGGTTGCTTCTCTCCTTGATGAGTTTCCATCCGTTGCTTGTCCTGCCTTTAGGTGCTTTGGAGAATAGCTTGACTCCCTCTTCTTTATGGCAACCCCTGAGATATTGGAAGGCTGCTATCATGTCCCCCCTCGTCCTTCTCTTCATTAAACTAGACATACCCAATTCCAGCAACCGTTCCTTATATGCTTTAGCCTCCAGTCCCTGATCATCTTGATTGCTCTTCTCTGCACCCTTTCTAGAGTCTCAACATCTTTTTTACATCATGGTGACCAAAACTGGATGCCGTATTCCAAGTGTGGCCTTACCAAGGCCTTGTAAAGTGGTATTAACACTTCACGTGATCTTGAGTCTATCCCTCTGTTAATGCAGCCTAGGACTGTGTTGGCTTTTTTGGCAGCTGAATTCTATGATTCTATAACTTTCCTTCTCAAATAACATTCCGGTGAGTTAAGTGCTCACTGAAGTGAAATATAAAAACCAGAAACAGTTTTTTAAAAAAAAGCAGTTATGATGGTCAAAGAGTACAGCTAGGCCTCGACTTACAACAGTTCATTTAGTGACCGTTCAAAGTTACAACAGCACTGAAAAAGGTGCCTTATGACCGTTTCTTTCACCCTTATGACCGTTGCAGCATCGTCACATGATCAAAACTCGGACGCTTGCCAAATTGGCTGATATTTATGACGACACTGCAGTGATTCACTTAACAATTGTGGCCAGAAAAGTCGTAAAATGGGTCAAGACTCATTTCTCACTTAACAGCATAAATTTTGGGCTGAACTGTGATCGTAAGACGAGGACCGCCTGTATGGATCACAATAATGTTGCAGCTTCAGTTGTGAGAAACGAATATTGAATATTGAATACTAGCTGTACCCAGCCACCCATTGCTGTGGCTCTCGTTCACTCAGCCAACAGATGGCGCTGTTTTTCAAAAAAAGCATATTTTTACCTGTCACAGGTGTGACATCTATAAAATAGTAGGTATATAAAAACACGCGCGTATTCGAATGCAATGTTGTGTCAAAATTTCAAAGCAATCGGTGAAGAACTTTCGGAGATTTAAGATTTTGAACAAACGAACGTTTACATGTTTATTTCTATAGATTGAATTGAATATTGAATATTGAATATTGAATACTGAATATTGAATATTGAACGTGGCCCCTCCATGGATCCTGAATGTCCACACACCGATTTTATGTGTATCTCTTTTCTTTCAGTGGGGACCTGCAAGTGACCGGCAGCAGCCACTGTACTTACAGCACAGCACAAAAGGCTGTTGGCAAGGAAAACTTCACCCTCATCCCAGAAGGGGTTAATGGAATAGAAGAAAGGATGACGGTGGTCTGGAATAAATGTGTGGTGAGTGGAATATATAGGAAAAGATTAATTACACCGTCTTATCTATAAAAAACACATCTATGTCTGTTACTATAGCACTGTCTTTAAATTCTGATTAGTCTACAGGTAAAATGGATGAGAACCAGTTCGTTGCCATTACTAGCACCAACGCTGCCAAAATCTTCAATCTGTACCCGCGGAAGGGCAGGATTCAGGCGGGTTCTGATGCTGATCTTGTTATTTGGGATCCCGACAAGGAGAAGACAATCACAGCAAAAAGTCATAAATCGGTAAGACGGAACCTCTCAATGAACGATGATGTAAAACTGGATGCTTTTCAAAAGCTCCAGCTCTTAAAATTTTGACGCTTGATGAAATCTTAAATTTTTTTCCCCAGTAAAATTGTCAAGAAGAATTAAGGAAGTGGAACATTAAGAAAGGTTTATTTCACTTACAAAGGATTGTTTTGTTCCTTCCAGTCAAAGATCTGGGATTTTGTTTACACATCCTTGTTACATGATTAGAAAGAAAGTGAAATACGGTGATTACAATATGCAGTATCTATCTATCTATCTATCTATCTATCTATCTATCTATCTATCTATCTATCTATCTATCTATCTATCTATCTATATCTATTTATATATCTCTATATCTCTATATCTCTATATCTCTATATCTATCTATCTATCTATCTATCTATCTATCTATCTATCTATCTATCTCCATTTCTCTCTATATCTATCTATCTATCTGTCTGTCTGTCTGTCTGTCCGTCCGTCCGTCCGTCCATCCATCCATCCATCCATCCATCCAGTGGTGGGATTCAAATAGGTGAACAACCGGTTCTCTGCGTGGATGCCACTTCTGGGAGTCCATTCTGGGCCTGGGCAACAAAAAATTAGCTACCGGTTCTTCCGAAGTGGTGTGAACCAGCTGAATCCCACCACTGGAGCTGATCCCATCTTAAGTCGGATTCAGAAAAATCAGAGCCAGTTCTATCTATCTCCATCTCCATCTCCATCTCCATCTCTCTCTCTCTCTCTCTCTCTCTCTCTCTCTCTCTCTCTCTCTCTCTCTCTCTCTCTCTCTCTCTCTCTCTCTCTCTCTCTCTCTCTCTCTCTCTCTCTCTCTCTCTCTCTCTCTCTCTCTCTCTCTCTCTCTCTCTCTCTCTCTCTCTATCTATCTATCTATCATCTATCTATCTATCTATCTATCTATCTATCTATCTATCTATCTATCTATCTATCTATCTATCTATCTATCTATCAAGATAAATAAAAACAAAACTGTTTAAAAAACTTAACTTTCGTCGTCTGAGTAAAATGACGGAGGTTTGGAAGCTTGCTTATGAGACCGGCTGTTTTTGCGCTCTGCTCATTGAGCGAGGTACCGGTCTACCCACCCCAGTTGGCCGTATTACTTCTAATAGTCTCGCATCCGTCCGTGTGTTCCTATTTCTGGAACTGCATTAGTGCATCAAAAAGCAGGCCTATATATTCATTAATAACAATATATTGTTGCCATTGTTTAGGCTGTTGAATATAACATTTTTGAAGGGATGGAGTGCCGTGGGGCTCCACACATAGTTATTAGCCGAGGGAAGATTGTGTTCGAGGATGGAAACCTGTCCGCGAGAAAAGGAACGGGCTCTTTCCTCCCACGAAACTCCTTTCCCGAGTATCTTTATCAACGGATCAAAACTAGGAATAAGGTATGTTTATTGGCTTCTTTGTAATCTTCCAATATTACATTGTAGTACACAACTTGCTTTCATGAATCACAGTTCAGCCCAAAACTTTACGTTGTTAAGTGAGGAATTTTTTAAAGTGAGCTTTGCCCCATTATACGACTTTCCTTGCCACGTTTGTTAAGCGAATCACTACAGTGGTTAAATTAGTAATATGGCTGTTAAGTGAATCTGACTTTCCCCAGGGACTTTGCTTGTCAGAAGGTCACAAAAGGGAACCCCCATGACCCCGGGACACTGCAACCGTCATAAATGTGAGTCAGTTGTCAAAACATATGAAGAACGGTTGCAGGAATTGGGTATGTCTAGTTTAATGAAAAGGAGGACGAGGGGGGGGCATGATAGCAGCCTTCCAATATCTCAGGGGCTGCCCCAAAGAAGAGAAGGGGGTCAAGCTATTCTCCAAAGCACCTGAAGGCAGGACGAGAAGCAACGGATGGAAACTAACCAAGGAGAGAAGCAACCTGGAACTAAGGAGAAACTTCCTGACAGTGAGAACAATTAACCAGTGGAACAGCCTGCCTCCAGAAACGGTGAATGCTCCAACACTGGAAGTTTTTAAGAAGAGACTGGACAGCCATTTGTCCGAAACGGTATAGGGTTTCCTGCCTGAGCAGGGGGTTGGACTAGATGACCTCCAAGGTCCCTTCCAACTCCGTTATTCTATTCTATTCTATTCTATTCCAGTCTATATTATCCTATCCTATCCTATCCTATCCTATCCTATCCTATGAATACATGTGTTTTCTTTCTGTGCTCTGCAGATAGCAGAATTACAGGGTGTTTCTCGAGGGATGTACGACGGGCCAGTCTATGAAGTTGCAGCAACTCCCGCAAAATACGCCACCCCAGCCCCCTCAACGAAAACGTCGCCTGCCAAAAACCAGCCTCCACCAATCAGAAACCTCCATCAGTCTAATTTCAGTTTATCAGGTGATTCTGAAATCTTTGGAAAGACGGAACGCTTGTGGAAAAAGGTTTGCCCCCACCGGAGACATTTAGGATGGGGTAGCTGCCCTGCTTGAAGCAAGAAAGCTTTCTTTGAGGGGGGGAGGATGGGGCGTGGGTGTGTCAAGTGAGGGTCTTACCCACTGATAATTCGCACTCTGACTTGAGGTAAACTCCCCATCACAAGCCTCTCTGATGACTCACACCTGACACACCCACACCCAAAGCCCTTACAAACAGAAGAACACTGACACTGCCATCCCCTAAACTCCGATACCCAGCCTGGTAACGAAACGTTCGGAAACCGACCCACGAGCTCAGAGAACGAACCTTCACCCTCATCCTAGATACGGGCTACAGATATTCGCCACTACTGCAAAATTTTACAATCATTTTAAATCATCGATGTTTAATCGATACACCAGAATGGTTCTTCACCTTTTGGGGGCAGCATCTGCCTGCTACGGAAAAACGAGGCGCAAATCTCATTGAGTTTGGACAGTGCTCCCCCGTCTGCCCACATAGGCCTGATCAGATTAAATAAATTGGTGGACACCCCCTCCATCTCTCCCCAATTTTGAGAAGCCCGGCTCTAAGCCATGCGGAAGCTCCTGTCGGCAGTCCCAACGCCACACTAAGAGAGGGTTAAGTTTGGGTTGCTCTTTGCTCAGAAAGGAAGGGGGTTCTCATGCATTGCCGAGGATTAAACTTCATGCTTTCTGACATGCTCTCCTGCAGGGGCTCAAGTAGATGACCACAACCCTCGCCGGACTGGACACCGTATTGTGGCACCACCAGGAGGCCGCTCCAACATCACTAGCCTCGGTTGAGCGTAGATGGAAGTTGGAAACGAAGAATGAACGCTCTTAGTCCTCCTCGACATCCGTGTTCCTTAGCCCATATTTCATTCATTGCTACGCGAGAAAAAAAAGGGTTTGTCTTCAGAAATAAGTGTCATAGTGTGATGTGTTTGCTTGGAATGAATCACCTTGGTTGTGTTTGCCATCTTAAAAAGCATGGTCCTCCCAGTGCTCGGTGAGCAGCGGTGCTGCTCGTAGCTTTGCTTGCAGTAGAGTTGCCCCTTCCCACCCTTTTCTCCCTTAGTTGTGCTAGATTAGGCAATGCATGTTTGCTGACGAAGCAAGTTGCGTCTTGCGTGTCTGCTTTGGAGCAAGGCCGCCTGCCACTTTGGATTAGGCACGAGGTCAAGGCGTGATGTTCCGTTAAAGGAAGACACCTATGGACGTCTTACAAATATGCAGTAGAATTTTTGTTGGTGTACATTTTTACTCATAACAGACCCCATGAAGAATAGAGGGGGGCGGCCCAATAGGCTGTGATCTTCTCAGTCGAGTCAAACTCTCGTCCGACTTTAGGAAAAGCCATTATGAATTCATGTGGTGACCGTAGAGGATTGCCATAGACGGTCATCTTTACAGGCCAGTTTTGGTACTTGTAAACATTTCCAATGTTTGTTGGGTTTTTAATGTTTTTTGTACGGATTTTTTCTTGTTTTCCTCCTTATAGGTAGTGGTTATTTATTACAATGTGTCAGATTTAGTAGTTGTGGCTCATTTTTTTTAAAACACTGGTGAAATAAAAGAACATGAAGTAATTTGACTCTTTTTTATTTGTGCATAATCAAAACAATTGCCATTCGGTATGTTGTGCATCCTTGAGAAAACTCAAGAGCTGACAGGAACTAAACAGCAACTGAGTAAACTGGCTGGGGACCACGGACCAGAACCTGTTTCACTGCAGTAGTCTTTGTTTACAGGCTCAGAGTTTTAAAGACTAACAGATTTGAAAGGGACCTTGGAGGTCTTTTAGTCTAGCCTCCTGCACAAGCAGGTGACCCTATACCAGGGGTAGGCAACCTTGGCTCTTTTATGACTCGTGGGCTTCAACTCCCAGAATTCCTGAGCAATTCTAGGAGTTGAAGTCCACGAGTCATAAAAGAACCAAGGTTGCCTACCGCTGCCCTATACCATTTCAGACACGGGGCTCTCCAGTCTTTTCTTAAAAACCTCCAGTGTTGGAGCACCCACCATTTCTGGAGGGAAGCCTGCCGAATAATTGTCCCGTCAGGAAATTTCTTTGGCAATAGCCCTTAGATTTATATACCCCTACATTATGCTTTACAGCCCTCTCTAAGTGGTTTGCAGAGTCAGCCTCTTGCCCCCAACAATCTGGGTCCTCATTTTACCGGCCTCAGAAGGACGGAAAGCTGAGTCAACCTTGAGTCAGTCTGGCTCGAACTGCTGGCAGTCAGCAGAATCAGCCTGCAATACTGCATTTTAACCACCGCATCACCATGGCTCATAGTTTTTTTTTTAGTTCCAGGTTGCTTCTCTCCTTGACAGGTTTCCATCCGTTGCTTCTTGCCCTGCCCTCAGGTGCTTTGGAGAACAGCTCGACTCCCTCTTCTTTGTGGCAGCCCCTCAAAATATTAGAAGGCTGCTGTCAGGTCACCCCTATACTGTCTTACGACAGTGATGAAGATGTAGGTTACGACCATTGCCTACATCACTTCCAATGCTTGTATGGACCAGCCTGGCAGCTCCTCTCTCTCTCAGTCACAGTGGGTCTGTCCACAGGACAGTGAGATTGGAGAGAAAGGGATCGCAAAAGAGTTTTTTTTTTTTTAAAAAAAAAACGCTGTGGGAAACGCAGGGGGCTGCAGCAGTAGCTGCAGGGCTACCCGCTCTCTTGTGATCCCTTTCGCTCCAAACAACGTAGAAGCCCCTTCCCAGCGCCGCGCTGTGCCTTCTCAAGGGATCCAAGCGCGGCCCTTTCACTGCGTTCCTCCAACACAAGGCAGGGCGTCGTCGTCGCCCCAAACGGCCGGGAGGGAGACAGGTGGCCAGCTATTCAGCCTGTCCCCCTCCTCTCTGCTGCGCTCGGGAGCCCGCCGTCATGGCGCTCTCTCTCCTCTTTCGCCACTCTCCCTGCTTGCGCGCGCAGCTTCGGCCTGTTTCCCCCTCCCCCTGCTGCGCTCGGGAGCCGGCCTCGCTTCTCGGGCCGCTCTCTCTCCTCTTTCGCCACTTCTCCCTGCTTGCGCGCGCAACTTCGGCCTGTTTTCCCCCTCCCCCTGCTGCGCTCGGGAGCCGGCCTCGCTTCTCGGCCCGCGCTCTCTCCTCTTTCTCCACTCTCCCTGCTTGCGCGCGCAGCTTCGGCCTGTTTCCCCCCCCTGCTGCGCTCGGGAGCCCGCCTCGCTTCTCGGGCCGCGCTCTCCCCTCTTTCGCCACTCTTCCTGCTGCGCGCGCAGCTTCGGCCTGGTTTTTTCCCCCCCCCTCCCCCTGCTGCTCTCGGGAGCCCGCCTCGCTTCTCGGGCCGCGCTCTCCCCTATTTCTCCACTCTTCCTGCTGCGCGCGCAGCTTCGGCCTGGTTTTTTTTCCCCCCCCTCCCCCTGCTGCTCTCGGGAGCCCGCCTCGCTTCTCGGGCCGCGCTCTCTCCTCTTTCTCTACTCTCCCTGCTTGCGCGCGCAGCTTCGGCCTGTTTTTTTTTCGCCCCCCTCCCCCTGCTGCGCTCGGGAGCCGGCCTCGCTTCTCGGGCCGCTCTCTCTCCTCTTTCTCCACTCTCCCTGCTTGCGCGCGCAGCTCCGGCCTGTCCCCCTTCCCCCTGCCGCGCCGCCTGCTGGTCCCGCGCGAGCGACCGAGGAGGGACCGAGGAGCGAGCGAACCTCAGAGCGGCGGCGGCGGCGGCGCCATGACGGCGGAGGAGCGCGGGGCTGAGGAGATGAGCGCGGCGGAGGCGGCGGCGACGGCGGCGGCGGAGGGCCTGGACATCACGGCCAAGAGCGACGGCGGCGTCCTCAAGGTGGGCGGAGGCGCCCGCGGGCCCCCCCACCCCCACCCCCGCTCGAGCG